GTTGGGGTCGCGGCAAAGGACAACGCTATCCATGATCTACTGGATGTCTTTATGCGCTTGTTTCTTTATTTTTTTTGTTTGTTTTGTTTTGTTTCGTTTTTCTTTTCTTTCAGGTATTTACATGTACATATATATATATATATATATATATATATATATATATATATATATATATATATATATATATATATATATATATATATGTGTGTGTGTGTGTGTGTGTGTTGTGTGTGTGTGTTTGTGTATGTCCCTGTGTGTGTTTGTGTGTGTTTATTTGTTTGTCTGTTTGCTTGTTTGTGTGTATGTGTGTGTGTGTGTATGTGCGTGTGTGTGTGTATCTATCTGTCTATCTATCTATCTATCTATCTATCTATCTATCTATCTATATATATATATATATATATATAATATATATATATATATATATGTTTATATTTATAAACACATATATACATACTTATCTGTCTATCTATCTATCTACCTATCTGTATATCGATCTCCATCTCTCTCCACATACCAACCCTTCCTTTGGCACTTCTACTCATCCTACCCTTTCTCTTTGTCTCTCTCTCTTCCTTTCGTTATCAAGGCTATTTTTGGCCTCTGTTGATAAAGAGCATAACCTTCTGCTACGTGTCCACCATTTCCTCTCTTTACATTTCCTTTCGTTGCACCGGAAGGCACACTTCACGGCGAACGAAAAGGGGAGGAGCCACAAGATGGGAGAACAAAAGAAAGGGAGGAGAGAGGGAGACAAAGGTAGAGAGAGAAAGGGGGAGGGAAAAAAGAGAGAGAGAGAGAGAGAGAGAGAGAGAGAGAGAGAGAGAGAGAGAGAGAGAGAGAGAGAGAGAGAGAGAGAGAGAGAGAGAGAGAGAGAGAGAAGAGAGGAGAGAGAAAAAGAAAGTGATAGTGAGAAAGAGAGAGAGAGAGAGGAAGTGATAGTGAGAAAGAGAGAGAGAGAGAGACAGACAGACAGACATACAAACAGAGAGACAGAGAAAGAGACTGATAGACAGGCAGACAATCAAACAGACAGGTGAAGTGAGAGAATCTCCTCCTCCTTCCCTTCCTCCGTCTCTCTCTATATCTCTCTCACGTAAGAAAAAAAAATAGAAAGACAGAAATAGAGAGATGAAAAAAAAATCCTGACAAACACCTTAAAAGCCCAAACACTAAAGACATTTATTATAATCCCGGGATCGAGATGATTACAACTCGGGGTAGAGAGAGGGGAAAAGGGGGAGGAGAGGAGGAGGGAGAAGGGGGGAGGAGAGGAGGAGGGAGGAGAGGAGGAGGGAGAGGGGGGGAGGAGAGGAGGGAGGGAGGAGAGGGGAGGGAGAAAGAGGGGAGGAGAAAGGGGGGAGGAAAGGAGGGAGGGAGAAAGGGAGGAGGAGAGGAGGGAGGGAGAAAGAGGAGAGGAGAAGAGGAGGGAGAAAGGGGGGAGGAGAGGAGGGAGGGAGAAAGGGGGAGAAGAGGAGGGAGGGAGAAGGGGAGGAGAGGAGGAGGGAGAAAGGGGGGAGGAGAGGAGGCAGGGAGAAAGGGGGAGGAAGAGGAGGGAGGGAGAGAGGAGGGAGGGAGAAAGGGGGAAGGAGAGGAGGAGGGAGAAGGGGAGAGGAGAGGAGGGAGGAGGGAAAGGGGGAGGAGAGGAGGGAAGGAGAGGGGGAGAGAAGGAGGGAGAGGGGGGAGAGGGAGGGAAGGAGAAAGGGGGGAGGAGATGAGAGAGGGAGAAAGGGGGGAGGAGAGGAGGGAGGAAGAGGAGGGAGGGAGAAAGGGGAAGGAGAGGAGGAGGGAGAAAGGGGAGAGGAGAGGAGGGAGGAGAAAGGGGGGAGGGAGGAGGAGGGAAAAGGGGGAGGAAGAGGAGGGAGGGAATAGAGGGGATTCCAGCAGGGATTACACTTAATTCTCCTCAGCTAATCTGTACAAATCCCACACAATCTCTAGCGTGGAAACAATGGAAATCGTAAGGTTGTCCGCAGGTAGTTTCACTCTACAGGTGGACCGCCATTTGGACATCTTAAGGATTTGAGCTTTTTTTACTTTTTTTTTTTTTTTTTTTTTTTTTTTTTTTTTTGAAACGAATGAGAGGCTTTTTTTTCGAGACGAGTGAGAGGCAATTGAGGGATATGATATGCTTTGTGGGCGTGTGGCGTTAAGTTCTCTAAGGAGGTTTGTTTTCGTTTTGTTATTTTTCTGTTCTACTTTTTGTTCTTTTGTTCTTTTTTTTTGGGGGGGGGTTGCGTGTTGCGTGTATGTATGTGTGTTTATATTTGTCTCTAATTCTGACTGTCTGTGGGTCTCTCTTTATATCTATCTACCTTTCTTTCTTTCTTTCTCTATGTCTTTATCTTTGTCTCTCTCTCTCTCTCTCTCTCTCTCTTCTCTCTCTCTCTCTCTCTCTCTCTCTCTCTCTCTCTCTCTCTCTCTCTCTCTCTCTCTCTCTCTCTCCCTCCCTCCCTTCCTCCCTCTACCTATCCTACCTTTTCCGCTTCCGTCTCCATTTCTTTCCTATCCCCTTTCTCCCCTTCCCCTCCCTTCCCCTCCCCCATTCCCCATGTCCATTTTTCCCTCTCTCGCTCTTGAAGAATCTCTGCCTTGCTCTTAATTGTCACTCAAGACCTCGAGAACCGCATTACGACGGCCCGGAGGTATGTCACACTCGCTCATATGACATGACAGTTTGGATTTGCACGAAACTTTAGGGTCCAATTTTTTCTCCTTTTTTTAGCGAGGAATTTTTTTTCGTATTTATCTATGTATTTTAGGGTTTTGTTGTTATTATTTTTTTCTTTCTTTCTTTGTGTTAAAAATGGCTAATTTGTTATATATTTTTTCCGATTATATCTACATGAAAATAAGTCAATCCAAATAAAAAAAAAAATAATAAAACATTATTCTAATTATCCTTACATTAATCTTCAAAAAAACAGAAAGGAAAATATTATACCAGAACCGTTTGCTAATCGTTTACGGGGCCGTTGACAGTCTGAAAAAGTCTACGGTTTCTGCACACCAGTTTTCGACCGTGACAAACCGCACGAACCGTAAGTAAGTATTGTACGTTATACAATAAAATTTGGATTAACTGGATAATCGTGCCTGATTTTACATAATTGCTTCGTTTCTAAGAATGATTGTTTTTCTTTCAATTATCTCTAACTAACAGCTTGAGAAAATGCATAAACCTTCATATATGCGAAGGCACTTTATAGGAGTAAATATAAAATATATATATGTGCTATATAATGAATGTGTGTGTGAGTGTGTAAATATGTATATATATATATTATAATATATATTATATTATATATATGTATTATATATATATATACATATATATATATATATATATATATATATATATATATATATACATATAAACTCATTATGTGCATGCATGATTTATACTTTGATTTCTCATGAATATTTTTACTTTTACGAAGCAGTTTGCGAACTCTGTTTACCTATGCAGAACGAATAAGATCAGTATATATATATATATATATATATATATATATATATATATATATATATATTATATATATATATGTATGTGTTATATAATAATGTATGTATGTATATATATGTATAATATAATATAATGTATTATATATATGTATATATATAATATAATATTATATATAATATATATATATAATATATATATATACATATATATATATATATATATATATATATATATATATATATTATTATATTATATATATAATATATATATATATATATATATATATATATATATACGGATGAATAGATGAGAGAGAGAGAGAGAGAGAGAGAGAGGAGAGAGAGAGAGAGAGAGAGAGAGAGAGAGAGAGAGAGAGAGAGAGAGAGAGAGAGAGAGAGAGAGAGATTCAGGCAGACACACAGACAGACAGACAAACAGACAGACCAGGCAGACAGAAGAACACACACAGACAAATAAAGCAGAATAAGAAAGAAAAAAAAAAGCCCACAAGACACATCGACACAGCCCATGATTAAGCCTTCTTATCCATAACGCTGTTTGCCAAAGGAAAATTGGATAATTTCAAACCACCCGAGGATTGGGTTACGAGAGGAGGAGCCCGGCCGCGTGTTGTAATTCGTATCCAAGCCTGCCACAAAGGTGTCATAAATAACCCGAGTGGATTTCTACCTTGTAAACTACAACGTGCACAGATTGATCGCTCGGTTTTACGGCGCTCGGTAATGGTTCGTGTTATTTTGTTCCGGCCAGGCTGGTGTTGCAGGTCCAATTAACGTGGCGTTATGGATTTTTTTTTTAAACAACGTATTATTCTTTAATTTATTTATCTATTTATTTTTCCTTTTTTGTGTGTATTTGGTGCTTTTTCTTTATTTTTATGATGTATGTAACATTTGCAAAACCGAAGCGAATGCGAGAGACCGTTAACAAATTCGATATCTAAAGCAAATATAAGTTCGGCTCCAAATACCGATCCTTCAAGCAAACGAAACATGCAATCACGGACTAATCAATCACACGATAACGCTTAATAAGTATGCTTTTGAGGCGCGAGGGAAAAATTGAAGTTCGAAGGATATATGCTCCGTGAAAGACCTCTGACCAGGCGCCTTCTCTCGGCCACACCTTCTCGCCTCGCTTGACCCAGCCTGACATCTGTATCTCGGGGGCTTCTTCCCTCGAATCCTCGCGTCGGGTCAGGGAGACATGCCCATCAAAACCATCCGAATGATCCGTCATTTCGAGAAAAAAACGGGTATTTTGAGAGTCTATCCACGCGGTCTATCTATCCTCCTCCGTGGATAACTTTCAATGCACTCGGCCTCCCAGTGAGCAACCGTCCGCCGGCCTCCTCTCCCAGCCCGAGCAGCCGTTGCACTCTCTGTGGCTTCTGCGACGACTGCAACGTCTCTTTTGCAACCTACTGCCCTCCCAGCCCTGCAGCCTAGTCCCCAGCGCCACCAGGAGGCCCCTGGAGTACCTGGGGTGTCGTACGCGTGTCGCACCGGCTCACCTGTGTCGCATCCGAGTAGGGCGTCGACGAAGTGTCATCCACCGCCAGGGAGCCGAAGGGGGCGCCGGCGGAGAGCGGGTGTTCGACGGGCGCTTCCTTGAGGCCCTGGGGCAGCATCCTGCAGGCGAAGAGGACCGAAGGACGCCGAAGGAGACGCGGGAAGCGGGGGAGATCCTCGACCTCTCCGAAGTGCGGCGGCGAAGCGGTACTTTCGCCCCGAGAGAGAGAGGCGAAGGAGGGGGGCGTGCCCGCGAGGATATTCGATCCCCCACGTGGAAGGGGGCAAAAGGGTTCCTTCGGGGGCTTCCTTCCGTCTGCTGCGGTCAGTCCGTGAAATCACTCAACTGTTATTCACCTCTTTGCATAACTTTCCAGAAATAGAGACAAACATCTTGGAATATACTTTCCCTCGTATATCCTTTCGGGAAGGGGAAACTCGAAATTCGAATCCCACCAAAAAAACACTATATTCAAACACTTTTCTCGTACGTCTTGCGAGGGTAACTCTATGTCCATGCGCGAGCGAGTCTCAAGTGGCACTGGCACTGTCCAACGGAGAGCCACAGGGCCACCTCCTCCTTCCCGTGTGAAGGTGTGTGTTAGACTGGGCATGAGAAATCACAACACATGGCTTTTGAGCATCGCTTAGCCCGACCTTTGTTGGTGGGTGGACGGTCGACGGTGACCTGCTCTTCATTATTTCTCGAACTCTCACAGTTTACGTGGTCGCGGCCCCTCTATCGATCGTGTACTCGCGTATTAACGATGGAGGTAGAGCCAAGTGAGGGTGATTAATGGGATTTACTTGATATTTTATTAATTTACTCCAAGAAAAAAAGAAGAAGACTGCAGCGATCTACATACGTACCAAGGGAAATTCGGTACCTTTGTTGCGGCGCGCTGACTCTCGGCTCCTCGGCGAGCAAACGTCATTTAAAAGCGATGCGACTTCTCACACCTTCGTAATTAGACTAATGACTACGCGTAGATTTATTCGCACGCGTTTTTTCGTCAATAATATGCAATCAGATAAGAAAACAACGTAATAAAACCCGATGTACGAGGTGCGAAGGGCGGGAAAAAATCACGCACTGAGATCCGTACCCTCGACGTAATTGGTCAACGAGTATGTGACGTCATGCGAGCGGCGACCAATCAGCGCGCGTCCCGGGACAACAAGGGAGTGGGTGGCATCTTACGAAGAACCATAAAACCGACAGACGATCGCGAGCTTTCTTTTGCCATCTCTCTCTCTCTTTCTCTCTCTCTCTTTCTCTTTCTTTCGCATTTTTCATTTTCCTTCTCCATGGTTTAGCTTGATGTCTGTCCTCTTAAACACGACCGCGGTGACGTTCGTATCAACCGGCGATGCGAGATAAACGGAGACTTAAAAGGCCGAAGAAAACCGCAAAAAAAAAGAGAAAGAAAGAAAGATCTGGATTGAACTTTCCCCTTAATATTTTCATTCCAAAATGGACGCGTCATAAACAAAAAACAAAAAAAAAATCTTTCTTTTCCATTCCCGTTCTTTCAATCGACCGGCATCGCAAGTTGATTAACACGATATCTGAATCAACTCAAATATGTGTTTCTTTTTTGGGGATAAAACAAAGGGGATGAGAGTGAGAGTTGATTTGCGAAATATTAAGAGACAGCGGAGAGGAAGCGAGCGAAGAGAGGGAGTGAGATGAGGGACAATTATAAGAATGAGGAATAGGAGATAGATGGTAATGAGGAAGGGAAATGCATATGGGAAAGGGAGACCGAGAACGATAGATGCGATCGAAAGGGGGAATAGGTAAGTGGGCGAGAGAGAGAGAGAGAGAGAGAGAGGGAGAAGAGATGACTTCGAAACGATTATTTAAAAGTGAAATTTAAGGAGAGAAAGATTATAAAAGGAAAATAAACTGGGATTATGATTAATACGTTTTTTTTATATATCCCTTTAATTGGTGGGCGAGAACGGGGACGGGGTGGGGGTGGGGGAGGGAGGGAGGGAGGGAGGATGATGTAAATATATACAAATGTGTTTCCCTTTCCGGGTCTCCTCTCCCCTTCCTCCCAGGTCCCCCACCCCCTCCCGACATCTCTCTTCCTCCCTTCTTTCTCTCACGTTTTTTCTTGTTTTCCTAATTTCTTAACATCTTAAAACATAAAGATATAAATATGATACGATTTTATCACTACGATATCATTGGGAGGGGGGGCGTGGGTAGGGGGTAAGGTGAAGGAAAAAGGGGGGAGAGGGAGAGAGAGAGAGAGAGAGAGAGAAAGAAAGAAAGAGAAAGAAAGAAAGAAAGAGAGAGAGAGACCAAACACCTGTTGGCCAAATCGTTATCTAAATCGCCCGTCAAGTGCGATATCTCTACTACTTCGTTTTATATCTACTTTATCTACCGTCATCGCTATCTTCCCGCTGCCGTTTTCTCTCTCTCCTCTCTCTTTATCACGAAGAAGTCACCGGCGGCGTCACGGGCAGCGGACGGCAGGACACGCGGGG